CCGTGACCTTGCGCCGTGACCTTGTGCCGTGACCTTGCGCCGTGCCCAGGAGGTGACGCGCCAGCTGCTGTGTGGGCTGCGCTACCTGCACGGCCACGGCCTGGAGCACCGCGAGCTCACGCCACGCAGCGTCCTGGTGACGGCCTCGGGGCGCGTCAAGCTCGCCGGCTGGGGGCTCGGACGCTTCCTCTTGGACGGCGCGAGCACGGCTCTCACCCCGGCGGTGAGTAGAGAGAGTGAGAGAGAGAGGTCTTCTTGGTTCTTTCGGTAAAGTCGTCACGTAGAAGGGAAGTAATAAAATAATAAAAATAAAACATAATAAAATAATTCTCACGACGTTTCGGCCACAACGCAAGCAGCCGTCCTCAGGTGAAGACCAGGTCTGTCGAGGAGACAGCGTCTGAATCTGTCTTCCGGCCAACACCGGCGACGATTATCTTAACCGGTCCCGGGCCTCCCCTAGGTTGACTCAGCCTCAAAAGAGTACCCGGTGCGGTGCGCGGTAAACATCGCCACCGGGTAGACAAAGGCGGCCGGGTGCGGTGCTGGCCACCCACCCCCTCGTGTGCCGGCCGTCATAGGCGCTGCTACTCGCTAAGGGCACTTGCCCCTACGGTGTGTGAAGGCTACACGGGGGATATTTGTCTTTGTGTGTGCCGCTGCTGTAGGTGTCCCCGTCGTGGTACCGCGCCCCGGAGCTGCTGCTGCGGGTGACCTGCGGCCCGGCCGCCGACCTGTGGAGCGTCGGCTGCATCTTTGCTGAGATGTTTACACGCAGGTGCTCCTTGAGCACCGCCACCCGCACACCCACACACCTAGCAACCCACCCACCTAGCAACCCACCCACCTAGCAACCCACCCACCCACCTAGCAACCCACCCACCTAGCAACCCACCCACCTAGCAACCCACCCACCTAGCAACCCACCCACCCACCTAGCAACCCACCCGCCCACCTAGCAACCCACCCACCCACCTAGCAACCCACCCACCCACCTAGCAACCCACCCGCCCACCTAGCAACCCACCCACCCACCTAGCAACCCACCCACCAAACCACACACCCAGCCACCCACACACCCACCCACCCACCAATCCACCCACCCAGCCACCCACCAACCCACACACCCACCCACCTATCAACCCACCAAACCACCCACCCACCCACCTATCAACCCACCCACCCACCAATCCACCAAACCACCCAGCCACCCACACACCCACCCACCTATCAACCCACCCACCAAACCACCCACCCACCCACCCACCCACTCACTCACCACCCACCCACACACCCACCCACCCACACACCCACCCACCTATCAACCCACCCACCAATCCACAAAACCACCCACCCAGCCACACAGCCACCCACCTATCAATCCACCCACCCACCAAACCACCCACACAGCCACCCACCCACCTCTCCCGCACGCAATGTCACCACAGGCCTGGCAGGGTGGCGTCGCCATGGCGCCCGTGCCAGGATAGGTGCCCCCGTGGGTCCGACCGAACACCATGCCACCTCTCCCCCATTGAATTGGTGTTGTTGTTATTATGATGATGTGTCTTTCCGACAGACCTGTTCTTCTGAACACCACCAGGCTTGGCAGCGTATATTTAAGTATTTAAGTATATATTTAAATATATACGCTGACAAGCCTGGTGGTGCTCATTCAGACGCCGTCTTTCCGACAGACTTGCTCTTCACCCGAGGACGGCTGCTTGCGTTGTGGCCGAAACGTCGTGAGAATTGTATTTTATTGCGTTTTATTATTTTATGATTTCCCTTCTACGTGACTTTACCGAAAGAAGCAAAAAGGTTCTAAGCGACATCGCATCAGGTGACCTCCTTGTCTCCCCTCAACGCAGGCCTCTCTTCCCCGGAGGCTCCGATGTCGATCAGCTGACGAAGATATTCGGGTGAGTAGCTCGTGGCGAGCGTGCCGTGGGGAGCGGTGCGGGGGCCAATAGACGCCATCTCATTTGTTAGCGGAGAGCAACGTGGGGTGGGGGAGGGTGGGGGGAGGGGGAGAGGGAAGGGGGAGGAGGGGGAGGAGGGAGGGGGAGGAGGGGGGGGAAGGGGGAGGAGAAGAAGGGGGGGGAGGAGGAGGAGGGGGAAGGGGGAGGAGGGGGAAGGAGGGGGGGGGAGGGGGAAGGGGGAGGAGAAGAAGGAGGAGGGGGGGGCAGGAGTATTTGGCTGTTGATGTAAATTCCACAACAGCCACTCCGTTGCGCAATCATTGATGAAAGTGGGTTGATAGTCAACAGCCGAATTCTCACCGTCACCTCCGCCGCTACCCCCCCCTTACCCCCCCTCTTACCCTCCCCCCTACCCCCCCCTTACCCCCCCCCTCCCCCCGTGTCCCCCATGTCCCAGTCTGCTAGGCGTGCCGAGCCTGGAGGAGTGGCTGCTCGGAGCCTCCCTGCCGCACGGCGACTTTGCCGCGCAAACTCAGCTCGGTGGTCGCCACTCCTCCTACGGTCTCCACGCTGCCCCGCGGGCCCTGGTCGACTCCACGCCGGAGATGGGGCTGGAGGTCGCGCCGGGCAACGAGAATGTGGCGATGGCGCTGCTGCTGGTGAGACGCGGGCGGATTGTACGCGACGGCAATTGTCGCGCTTCGACGGGGATTACCGTTGAGCGGGCAATAACGCATCGCCTCTCGTCTCTGTGTGTCTCTCTGTGTCTCTCTGTGTCTCTCTGTGTCTCTCTGTGTGTCTGTGTCTCTCTGTGTGTCTGTGTCTCTCTGTGTCTCTGTGTCTCTCTGTGTCTCTGTGTGTCTCTCTGTGTCTCTCTGTCTGTGTCTCTCTGTGTCTCTCTGTGTCTCTGTGTCTCTCTGTGTCTCTGTGTCTCTGTGTGTCTCTCTGTGTCTCTCTGTGTCTCTCTGTGTCTCTCCGCGCCCTCCGCACGCACGGCCGTGCCTCCCGCAGGAGCTGCTGACCTTCAGCCCCCGCAAGCGCATCTCTGCGTCTGTCGCCCTCTTCCATCCGTACTTCTCTGAGGCCGCAGGCGTGGCCACGGGCGAGGCCTAAGGAGTAGGCCCTGGGGCAAGGCCTAAGGAGTAGGCCCCGGGGCGAGGCCTAAGGAGTTTGCGTCCTTTTTTGTTGCCCCCACCTTAAGAGGGTCGCTTGTGTTGCGCCCGAAACGTCGTCATTCGATTTGTTTTAATGTTTCGCCGACGTGACTTTACCGAATAAAAAAGCTAAAGGGTAATAAAAGTTAACTCTGAAGCAGCAAAAGAATGGCGAGGTACCTCTTTGTTGTTGTCGTCGTCGTGTTGTTGTTGTTTTCACAAATGTGCAGCGGGCGACTTATTGAGAGCACACTCTCTCGCGTAACGCGGCTGCACACTGGCGATCCTGACACGCAGCCCCATCTCCGGCCTCGCCACGCCAGCTGCCCGTCCTGCCGAATATCCGTCACGAGGTCGGCCACGAAGAGATGATGCCGGCGAGCAGCGACGCAGCCAGCACCCACGGCGGCACGAACCGCCGGTCCATCATCCCTCATATCCGCCAAGCGCCACCTCTGGCCACGCCCCCTTTCCAGAACCCTCCAGCCGCTTCCCAGAGGAGCTTCTTGACCGACTCCACCTTCATCTTCACCCCAGATACGCCCCCCCACCCCCCATATAATGAGGCATTGCGTAATGCACCCATGACCGTAATCACCACTCCAGGCCGACAGGTGTCACCCTATAGTTATAGGTTATTTAAATCCTTTATACTGGTAGGAACGAAGTGAACCAGCCTACAATAGATTATATCGTCCGTCCGATGTCCGATTAGGTGTAGCAACATCGCCCCCTACTGCAAACACTTGGCAGGACCCTACAAAAACCTTTAGACTCAGTGACGCTTTCCTGGCTAAACAAGTGTAACATTCCCTTATAATTCCCTGAGATAGCTTTTAATGAAAACATTTAAATTACAAATTAACTCACAGCGGCCTAAAGCCTACAGCTAGGCCTAAAGCCTAGAACTAGGCCTCAAACTCTCCCTTCGTATCGTACCCCCGCCATTTCATTTTATTATAGCCATTCATTTGTTCGTTCCTACCAGCCCACCCCGCAGGGACCTGTTCTAAACGGAATCAGCACATCAAATTAAATCCGCAGAGGAGGGGAAGACGGGTCCCAAGCATGCGACACTCACAACCATCAGTGGCAGATACTCGGCCGAGAGAGTCGAGAGAGAGAGGAAGAGACTTTTCAGGACTTTATTTCCGCTAAAACATTAACAAAAAACCATTACGGGGAAAAAACACACGTAAATTGTAAATCGATAAAACATCAAACTCTTTAACAGCTGTGTGTGCACGAACTACACGTGGCACAGGGATAGAGGCTGTGCAAACGAGGCGGTGCACGGACATCTCCGTATGTAGCAAAGTCGCTACGTGAGTGGGTGAGTGTGTGAACAGATGAGTGGGTGAGTGTGTGTGTGAACAGGTGAGTGAGCGAGTGGGTGTGTGAGGTGAGTGGGTGAGGTGAGTGTGTGAGGTGAGTGGGTGAGCGAGTGTGTGGGTGGGTGAGTGGGTGAGCGAGTGAGTGGGTGTGTGAGTGGGTGAGCGAGTGTGTGGGTGGGTGGGTGAGTGGGTGAGCGAGTGTGTGGGTGGGTGGGTTAGTGGGTGTGTGAGTGGGTGAGCGAGTGTGTGGGTGGGTGGATTAGTGGGTGTGTGAGTGGGTGAGCGAGTGTGTGGGTGGGTGAGTGGGTTTTTCTATTTGATGAATCAAAATGCGATGTGAAAAAAATATTTTTTTCTCCCCGACATTTTCAAAACGAAATGGCGTTGACGCGTCAAACACCTGAAATCATTTTTTTTTTACGGATTCAGTTGTCGGTTTTCATTAAAGTGTAATGACAGGGTCACGCCTGGCGGGGTCACGGGGTCACACCTGGTGACGTCACGGGGTCACGCCTGGTGACGTCACGGGGTCACGCCTGGCGAGGTCACGGGGTCACACCTGGCGAGGTCACGGGGTCACGCCTGGTGACGTCACGGGGTCACGCCTGGTGATGTCACGGGGTCACACCTGGCGGGGTCACGGGGTCACGCCTGGTGACGTCACGGGGTCACACCTGGTGATGTCACGGGGTCACACCTGGGGGGGTCACGGGGTCACGCCTGGTGACGTCACGGGGTCACACCTGGCGAGGTCACGGGGTCACGCCCGCTGGCCTGGGAAGGGATTCACGGGTACGGCCACAGAGGCAACAACCGATCAACGTGAGCACGTCGAGTGAGCGGGCGGGCAACTTGCGGTTTGACGGTGAACACGGCAGAGCGGACGTGAGCTTCAGAGCGAACGCCGAGCGGTGGGATGCCGTCCGCGGCCTGACGAACGCCGCCGCGACGGCCACGCGGCACTACGGGTGCGTGCCGCTCGTCGGCAGGCGCGCGGCGACCGGCTGCCGGGGCGCGGGGAAGTCGCCGGGATACGCCGGGAGGTTCCGGACGGGGCAGCCGGGAGGCAGCGTGGCGGCGGGGACCGGGCCCACCCTCAGGGGGTTGGCGTCGCCGAGGATTTCGTAGAGAAGGCCGCTGGCCACTTCGCGAGCTCCTTCCGCGCTGGAGCTCAGCACCGCGGGGAAGAAGCCGCTGCCTTCCCGCATCATCCCGGGAACGGAGACCTTGTACAGGAGGCCCATGGGCCTGCCGGGCTCCGAGTGAGCGTGCAGTTCGAAGGTCGCGTGGCCCACGCCGGCGCTCCGTAGCAGCGCCTGCAAACGCGTCTCCCACGACAAGACGGCCGTCTCCGGCAGCTCGTCCAGACCGATTGGCGTGGGCCACGGGTGGTGAGGTGCCCGCCAGAGCAGCGTGTGCGCCGCCCAGCCCACAAACAGGTTGTGCGGGGCCTTGTCGGAGACGGCGCACTCCGGCGGCGGGAGGCCTGGGACTGCCGCCACCTCCTCCTCGTCTTCCATTGCCTCCTCCTCCCCCACCTCCTCCTCCCCCCCCTCCTCCACCTCCTCCTCCACCGCCTCCTCCCCCCCCCCCCCCCTCCTCATCTTCAGTTGCCACCGCCTCCTCCCCCCCTTCCTCGTCGTCTTCCGTTGCCACCACCACCACCGCCGCGGCAGCAGCAGCAGCAGCCGCCGCCCCCGGGTCTCGCTGCGGGATGGCCCAGTCCACGTGGATGTCTCGGCCCCACAGCCGGAAGGAGTACGGCAGCAGCACCCTGCGGGCCATGCAGGCCGCGCGGTGGCTCTCGTATTCGACGAACGCGAAGCCTCGGCTGTGGCTCCTGTCGTGGCGACAGAAGCGCATCTGGACGTCCACGACGCCCTCCGTGACGTCGCTCATTGCCGCCATCACCTCGGCCCGCGTCCTAACCTTCGGCAGCCCCGCCAAGAAGAGGCGGCGATTGTCGACGCTCACGTGAACCGCGATCCGTTGCCCCGGGCGGATCTCCGACTTGTGGAGTCTCCTGACGGCGTCCGCGGCTTGCGAGCGCGTCGCGAAGGTGGCGAAGGCGTAGCCGCGGTTCTCTCCGTGGTACGTCATCATGAGGCGCAGCTGGTACAGCCGCCCCACCGCCTCCAGCACGGGCACCAGCTCGTCCTCGTACAGGTCGCGCGGGATCCTCGCCAGGAACACCTCGCAGCCGCGGGCGGGAGGGGGGCCCTGCCAGTCGGGCGGCGGTCCCAGCTTCCTCTGTCCGTTCTCCTGGACGATGTTGTAGCCCGTGCGCAACACGAGGTCCAGCAGGTCCCTCTCCACGCAGCTCATGATGTCGAGCATCGGCGCTTTGTCCACGGCGGCGGGTGACGACGGGGCAGCGGCTTGGGGCCCGTTGGAGCCCTTGACACTCACCGGCGCAGAAGCCTCGTGCCGACAAAGCCACGGCGGGGGGCGGAATCAACTCGTGAAAAGGCGGGAACTCGCTCGGGCCAAGCCTACAGGCCCAGCAGTGGAGAGAGGAAGAGAGAGTGGAGAGACGGATGGAGAGAGAGCTACCTTTGTAAACTCGGAAAATCACAATAAAATAGAAACCCAAGAAACTGTGTCTTGACCTTTGAACCGCCCTGTATAATGACCCCTCACCCCCAGTAGACGACCTGGTACCCCTCCTCACTCATCCACTCACTGACCCATCCACGCACCTCACACAGCCAGTCACTCACACACTCACCCACCCACTCACCCGCACACCCAGTCGCTCACACACTCACCTCACACACTCACCCACCCACTCGCTCACACACTCACCCACCCACTCACCCGCACACCCACTCGCTCACACACTCACCCACCCACTCACCCGCACACCCACTCGCTCACACACTCACCTCACACACTCACCCACCCACTCACCCGCACACCCACTCGCTCACACACTCACCTCACACACTCACCCACCCACTCGCTCACACACTCACCCACCCACTCACCCGCACACCCACTCGCTCACACACTCACCCACCCACTCACCCGCACACCCACTCGCTCACACACTCACCCACCCACTCACCCGCACACCCACTCGCTCACACACTCACCTCACACACTCACTCACCCGCACACCCACTCGCTCACACACTCACCCACCCACTCACCCGCACACCCACTCGCTCACACACTCACCCACCCACCCACTCGCTCACACACCCACCCACTCACCCACCCGCACACCCACTCGCTCACACACTCGCTCACACACTCACCCACCCACTCACCCACCCACTCACCCGCACACCCACTCGCTCACTCACTCACCTCACACACTCACCTCACACACTCACCCGCACACTCACCCGCACACTCACCCGCACACTCACCCGCACACTCACCCGCACACTCACCCGCACACACACTCGCTCACACACTCACCCACCCACTCACCTGCACACACACTCACCTCACACACTCACCCACCCACTCACCCACACACCCACTCGCTCACACACTCTCCCACCCACTCACCCACTCACTGATGATGAGAGAGAGAGAGACACGCAGACTCCAAATATACAACAGTAGGCGTCGCCAGGGCCGGGATCGAACCCACGACCTCCTGCATACCAGGCGAGGTAGTTAACATCTCCTAGCCACCGTGATGATGATGAGAGAGACACACAAACTCCAAATATACAGCAAGAATCTTCAGTATCGGGATCAAACCCACGACCTCCTGCATACCAGGCGAGGTAGTTAACATCTCCTAGCCACCGTGATGATGATGAGAGAGACACACAAACTCCAAATATACAGCAAGAATCTTCAGTATCGGGATCAAACCCACGACCTCCTGCATACCAGGCGAGGGAGTTAACATCTCCTAGCCACCGTGATGATGAGAGAGAGACACAAACTCCAACTCCAAATTAAGTTTGAATGTTTGCGTGTCGTTAAACCGGCCATCAGCCGACAGCCAATTCGCAAGGTTTATCACGTGACATACCGTGCCAATCTGTCACTGGAGCAGCACTAACCGGTTGTGTGTTGGAGTGTCTGTGTGTACACACTGTGTGTGTCTGTGTGTGTGTGTGTCTGTGTGTACACTGTGTGTGTGTGTTGGAGTGTCTGTGTGTACACACTGTGTGTCTGTGTGTGTGTGTACACTGTGTGTACACACTGTGTGTGTCTGTGTGTGTGTGTACACTGTGTGTCTGTGTGTACACTGTGTGTCTGTGTGTACACTGTGTATGTGTGTCTGTGTGTGCACTGTGTGTGTGTACACTCTGTGTGTGTGTCTGTGTGTGTGTACACTGTGAGTCTGTGTGTACACTGTGTGTGTGTACACACTGTGTGTGTCTGTGTGTCTGTGTCTGTTTGTCTGTGTGTGTGTACACTGTGTGTGTGTGTGTACAATGTGTGTGTGTGTGTACACTCTGTGTGTGTACACTGTGTGTGTACAATGTGTGTGTGTGTGTACACTGTGTGTGTGTACACTGTGTGTGTACACTGTGTGTGTGTACAGTGTGTGTGTACAGTGTGTGTGTACAGTGTGTGTGTACAGTGTGTGTGTACAGTGTGTGTGTACAGTGTGTGTGTACACTGTGTGTGTGTACACTGTGTGTGTACAGTGTGTGTGTACAGTGTGTGTGTACACTGTGTGTGTACACTGTGTGTGTACAGTGTGTGTGTACAATGTGTGTGTGTACACTGTGTGTGTGTAGTGTGTGTACACTGTGTGTGTGTACACTGTGTGTGTACAATGTGTGTGTGTGTACACTGTATGTGTACACTGTGTGTGTGTACACTGTGTGTGTGTGTACACTGTGTGTACACTGTGTGTACACTGTGTGTACACTGTGTGTACACTGTGTGTACACTGTGTGTACACTGTGTGTACACTGTGTGTACACTGTGTGTACACTGTGTGTGTGTTCACCACGCCCGGCGGACCCGTTATTCGATCCCGACTCCTGCCGGGGGAGGCGCTCCGGGCGCGGCGGGTCCGCTAGGAAAACTCGGGATGGCCCGAGGCCGACTAGGCCGCAGTCTTCCCTCCCCTCTGTTCTAGATGGTGACGGTGTTGCTGATGTTGTTGTTGATGCTGCTGATGCTGATGATGATGTTGTTGTTGATGTTGTTGTTGATGTTGCTGATGTTGTTGATGATGTTGTTGATGTTGATGCTGATGTTGTTGTTGTCGATGCTGATGATGTTGTTGTTGTTGATGTTGTTGTTGATGTTGCTGATGTTGTTGATGATGTTGTTGATGCTGATGTTGTTGTTGTCGATGCTGATGATGATGTTGTTGATGATGTTGTTGATGCTGATGATGTTGATGTTGTTGTATATGATGGTGTAAATGATGTTTATTGATAATGTTGATGATCGCAAACATCAACATAATTTATTAATTTATTCAGTTAGGGTAGCCTCTCATTGTGGGAGGGGAGGGTCTTGTACCCCAGAAAGTGACGTCATGTCATCTGCAGCCGCGTGACGTCATGTCATCTGCTGCCGCGTGACGTCACGTCATCTGCAGCCGCGTGACGTCATCTGCTGCCGCGTGACGTCACGAGCTAACAGGAAGCTGGAGGTCCGCGCGTGAACTGCAATCCGAGGTGAGAAATTCTCATCGTCGTGGTTGTTGTGGTTGTTGTTGTGGTGGTTGTTGTTTACCAAGCTAGAGCCTCGCTCTCTCTCTCGTAGGGATGTCACTAGAGCAGCAGCAGCTTGTGAATCGATGTCCAAGTTGGAACTTTACAACGCGGGGCCTAGACACGCGGGGCCTTGCCTCCTGCCCTCGCCTGGTCGCGTTTGCTTTAATTCCCTCCCTTAAGTTTAATTTGTCTTCACGCGGCTCGCTACTTTGTCACTTTGGTTTACTGTAGATATTAACGCAGTTTTTTTTTTAGTTTTTTACCAGCCCAAGCCCGCCTGAGCTGCTGTACCGCTCTTGTTTACAGAAGCTACCTGCCCACAACAACAACAAGGTGGGTTTGTCAACGCGTGTGTCAATGTTTTGACTTAAAACTTTCGTAACTGCAGCAATTCATATTCTTGGTTCTTTCGGTGAAGTCACGGAGATAGAAAATTTATAAAAAATAACAGATAATAAAATGAATAAAAGTAAACAAAATTGTAAATAAAACCACGACGTTTCTATCACAACACAAGTGGCATTTATTTTATGTTATCTGTTGTTATTGTCTATCTACGTAACTTTACCGAAAGAACCAAGAATACGTGTGGAAATGGGTATCGGTCAAAGACGCTAATCACGTACTGATGTTGACTCTAAATGTGGAGAGGAAACCCGGGAGATTCGGAGGAAAATCCACGCGACCACGGAGAGAGAGACACGCAAACTCCAAATATACAGCAGCAGCAGCAGGCGTCAGGGTCGGGATCGAACCCACGACTTCCTGTATACCAGGCGAGGTAGTTAACATCTCACCACGGAGAGAGAGACACGCAAACTCCAAATATACAGCAGCAGCAGTAAGCGTCAGGGTCGGGATCGAACCCACGACTTCCTGTATACCAGGTGAGGTAGTTAACATCTCACCACGGAGAGAGAGAGAGAGAGACACGCAAACTCCAAATATACAGCAGCAGCAGGCGTCAGGGTCGGGATCGAACCCACGACTTCCTGTATACCAGGTGAGGTAGTTAACATCTCACCACAGAGAGAGAGACACGCAAACTCCAAATATACAGCAGCAGGCGTCAGGGTCGGGATCGAACCCACTACTTCCTGTATACCAGGTGAGGTAGTTAACATCTCACCACGGAGATACGAGGGCTTCCAGGCATTTTTATGACCATTTGCCCTCTCATTGTGTGCAATAACAGCCTGTGTGATGAATTTGGGAAACTTTTTCACGACATCATGAATATATGAATAAGTATAGACGTGTAAGTCACGTGTGACTGTGTATATGCATTACTCTGTATCTGACGTGTAGGTGGTGTGGATATAATTTTTTTCTGTCTGCAGCTGTCGCTTGGTCTGATGGAGCAAAGGCGCTCAGCACAGCTCAGTACGGCAAGGCAACAATGCGACCGGCGTGGATACAGCACGGAGCGGACTGGAAATTTGACACAGCACCAGAGAGCTCACGCAGGAGAGAAACCCTTCAAGTGCAGTGTGTGTGGGAAGGCATTTTCACGGTCATATTATCTTAAAAGACACCAGAGAGCACACACGGGAGAGAAACCCTTCAAGTGTAGTGTGTGTGGGGTGGCATTTTCACAGTCAAATAATCTTAAAAGACACCAGAGAACACACATAGGAGAGAAACCTTTCAAGTGTACTCTGTGCAGGAAGGCATTTGCACAGTCATCTTCTCTTAAAAAACACCAGAGAATACACACGGGAGAGAAACCCTTCAAGTGCATTGTGTGTGGGAAGGCACTTTCACGGTCATCTGTTCTTAAAAGACACCAGAGAACACACACAGGAGAGAAACCTTTCAAGTGTACTCTGTGCGGGAAGGCGTTTTCTTTTTTACATCATCTCGTAAGACACCAGAGAACACACACGGGAGAGAAACCCTTCAAGTGCAGTGTGTGTGGGAAGGCATTTGCACATTCATCTACTCTTGTAACACACCAAAGAACACACACGGGAGAGAAACCCTTCAAGTGCACTGTGTGTGGGAAGGCATTTTCACAGTCATCTTCTCTTATAAAACACCAGAGAACACACACGGGAGAGAAACCCTTCAAGTGCACTGTGTGTGGGAAGGCACTTTCACGGTCATCAGATCTTAAAAGACACCAGAGAACACACACGGGAGAGAAACCCTTCAAGTGCATTCTGTGCAGGAAGGCGTTTTCAGATTCTTCCAATCTTCAAGTACACCAGAGAAGACACAAGCATCAGAAGATCCACAAGGACTGGAGTGTGAAATCAGCTTGTGAAAGTCAAAGTGCTGCAATGAGCCCATCCCTCATCAAACAAGAACCGGAAGAAAATCCCAGCTTGGACACTTTTAAAGGTACCAAGGTGAAATATGAAGAGGTGAAGGTGGAATGTGAAGAAGTGATGGTGAAGAGTAAAGAAGTGAAGGTAAAGTGTGAAGATGAAGATTCAACTCCAGAATGGGACCTTCACATGGATGGAGGCAACGTGAAGCAGGAGGAGAATTCTGACTGAGGCAGAGCGAGGCAACTCCCAGCAGTTTGTGGAAGTGGAGGTGTCGGTGGACTTCCTCCGAGACAATACAAAGTGAAATGGGGACCCGGTAAATGTGTAAGCCAGAGACGATGTCGCTCCAATAGATGCACCTTTGTCACAGGCCTTTAATGACAATAACGTGAAGTTGAACACTCAGTTCCTAGGTTCAATCTGCAGGGTAAGGGTGGCCAGTCTTTGTGGACCTGTGTGTTGGGTATATCTCTGAGAGCCAATAAGCTTCCAAGCATTCACGATGTTATAATTGCTTTTACATGGTGCTGACTTAATCCGCTCAGCAACTCGGAGTTTTGTATCGTACCTCGTCTCAAACATTCTAAGAGCACCCCAAGTAGCAGCTGCCCCTGTGTGGCACAAGGTGGTGGCCCTGCACCGGCCTGAATATTGTCAAGAGCCTGTCAGTAGGGGGCGATGATTGATCTGTCATCTCAGCTGTGTCGTTTGTAGGTAATGTTTAGAATTTGCTAAATTTTTGACCCAGACGCCAACATGCAAAGGCCTACTCGTTTTGAATTGCACAATTGTGTGTTTCACATCCACTGTTCAGTAGAGGGTGCATTCTTGAAATAGCTCCTTGTTAATAAGATGTTATCTAAACTAAATTGTTCAATTTTGGAAGAAGGTAATCAACCAGGTAGGGTGTTGACTGTTGTGTTGGGTGACTCTGTGTTGTGTTGCATTATATTTATAAGTTCACTATGTTTGTGTTTTCATTCACTTGTACCTGACGATGGTTGCTTGTGTTCCAATCGAAACGTCGTTTTCTATTAAATTTCGTTCTACGTGACTTTACTGAAAGAACCAAAGAATAAGATGTTATCTGATGCAGTATATTTCACTGCAGTAATTCAATTTTGTGCATATGCCTGTCAATAATTTAGAATGAAAACTTGTCTGTGTGCGTACATGTAACACACACTGTACGTACACAGTGTACACACACAGTGTACACACACAGTGCGTACACACACTGTGTGTACACACAGTGTCCATCGTCCCTTTGATGCGGTGAAGTTGTCCTGTCCCATTAGAAAAACACCCCCTAAGCATGTTTCCACCTCCATGTTTGACGGTGGGGATGGTGTTCTTGGGGTCATAGGCAGCATTTTTCCTCCTCCAAAGACGGCGAGTTGAGTTGATGCCAAAGAGCTCAATTTTGGTCTCATCTGACCACAGCATTTTCACCCAGTTGTCCTCTGAATCATTCGGATGTTCATTGGCAAACTTCAGACGGGCATGTAAATGTGCTTTCTTGAGCAGGGGGACCTTGTGGGCGCTGCAGGATTTCAGTCCTTCACGGCGTAGTGTGTCACCAACTTTTTCTTGGTGACTATGGTCCCAGCTGCCTTGAGATCATTGACAAGATCCTCCCGTGTAGTTCTGGGCTGATTCCACACCGTTCTCATGATCATTGCAACTCCACGAGGTGAGATCTTGCATGGAGCCCCAGGCCGAGGGGGATTGACATTTCTTTTGTGTTTATTCCGTTAGCGAACATATATCGGTGGCATTGCCCCAGAAAACAGTCAACAAAACTGTGTCTCCGTCTCTTTATTTCGTCGTGTCGCCTGGTTGACTTAGGGGCTGGGGCGGGGAAACCAGCATACGCTCGCATTACAATTACTTCACGTAGCTGCACTGTTCATGAACATCAGCGGGTCAATGTTGCGATGGACCTCAGTTTTGCACAGGACACTTTTGCTTTGATAGAGCATTTTAATGACCTGTGATACCTTGATAATGCATGTGGTCATGAAAGTCCGTTTTGTACTGATAATTGGCTTTGCAGAGTTGAATACTGTCAGCACAATGATGTTAGCTGTGGCCTGGATTCGAACTCGGGCCGCCAGGTTCATAGCGAAGCGTCGCAAACGGAATGATCCTCAGTCGTGATTTATTGTAAGGCGGAGTTGTGCACCATCTGATGAGCGTGTAATGCATTGGACAATGCAAGCGGTGTAAATTCATTTCTGATATTGATGAGACCATATACAATGAGTGTCTGTGCAAGAATGTGAAAGTCAATCAATATCAATCAAAAATTAGCAAACTGTCATTTTGTACTTTATTGCATAATTTGTAAACGTGAACATTTTTTAACATAATTATGCATTATTTGCAAAAGTTACCACCCCTTGCATGGTTAATGCAAAATGTGCATTTGTGTGCAGTTACCAATATTAACTGTGCAATGCAGGATATGCGACACGATGCAGCGAAGTAGTGCACTTTATATACATAAACAATTATTATATAAGTAGAAGACATTATTTCCAACATTCTGAATATTCTTTACGTGCAATCATGTACAACGCGTCCCGTCATGGCACGCAATAAGCACGCATCTGCATTAGTAAATGCGTTGCACGCGTAACATTACCGCTGAACCAGCAACACGAGACATCCACGCGTCCCCTGCCACCGCCCTCCGCCGCCGTCTTGCAGGTCGGGCAGCAAAAACATAACACTTCTGAGAATTTGCAACAACACCAACACCATCAACACCACGAGAAATGTGCCTGTGAGCACCTGGAGACCACGTGGAGAAGACTCCAGGCCACGCGTTGACAACGATGTTGAACAAGTGGAGAATCGTTGACTTTGTCAAGCTACTAGCTGTACTACCCGGCTTCGCCCGAGACTTGGATCCACCATGCCCGGCCGCCTTTGTCTCCCCAGTGGCGACGTTCACACACTGCACCAGTTACTCGTTTGAGGCTGAGTCGACCTAGCGGAGGCCCAGGACCGGTTCAAATAATCGTCACCGGCGGTGGCCGTGAGCGGGAATCGAACTCGGGTCGCCGGGTTCGTAGCGCGGCGTAGCGCTAATCGCTGCGCCACGATGCGTGACGCTTCCACACGCGTGGGTCACGTGACAGATGTGAAGTACGCGGCCGCAGGAGGAGGGTGGACGTCCTCCCTGGCGACGATCGCCGAGGGTGGCGGCGGCGGCAGAGTGCGTCTGTCGCGGCAGCGGCACCGCGGGTGAGCCACCGAGTCGGGTGAGCCACCGAGTCGGGTGAGCGACCGAGTCGGGTGAGCGACCGAGTCGGGTGAGCGACCGAGTCGGGTGAGCGACCGAGTCGGGTGAGCGACCGAGTCGGGTGAGCGACCGAGTCGGGGCACCGCGGGTGAGCGACCGAGGTGGGTGAGCGACCGAGTCGGGTGAGCGACCGAGTCGGGTGAGCGACCGAGTCGGGGCACCGCGGGTGAGCGACCGAGTCGGGTGAGCGACCGAGTCGGGTGAGCGACCGAGTCGGGTGAGCGACCGAGTCGGGGCACCGCGGGTGAGCGACCGAGGTGGGTGAGCGACCGAGTCGGGGCACCGCGGGTGAGCGACCGAGGTGGGTGAGTGACCGAGTCGGGTGAGCGACCGAGTCGGGGCACCGCGGGTGAGCGACCGAGTCGGGTGAGCGACCGAGTCGGGTGAGCGACCGAGTCGGGTGAGCGACCGAGTCGGGGCACCGCGGGTGAGCGACCGAGGTGGGTGAGCGACCGAGTCGGGGCACCGCGGGTGAGCGACCGAGGTGGGTGAGTGACCGAGTCGGGTGAGCGACCGCGCACGGGATCCAGGTCGGGCTGCGGCCACAGCCGCCACCACCGGCAACGTCGACGTCGCTCTCATCGGCTCACTTGTTTTCCCTCAACGTCAGCGTACCTGCACGTTGGGAGAGTAGCACGTGTAGTTGTGTGTGCAGTGTGTGTAGTGTACGTAGCGTGCGTGTGTGTGTGGTGTGTGTGTAGTGTACGTAGCGTGCGTGTGTGTGTGGTATGTGTGTAGTGTATGTAGCGTGTGTATATGTGTGTGTAGTGTATGTAGCGTGTGTATGTGTGTGTGTAGTGTACGTAGCGTGTGTATGTGTGTGGTGTGTGTGTGTGTAGTGTATGTAGCGTGTGTGGTGTGTGTGTAGTGTATGTAGCGTGCGTATGTGTGTGGTGTGTGTGTGTGTAGTGTGTGTAGCGTGTGTGTGTGTAGTGTATGTAGCGTGTGTATGTGTGTGTGTAGTGTATGTAGCGTGTGTATGTGTGTGTGTAGTGTACGTAGCGTGTGTGTGTGTGTGGTGTGTGTGTAGTGTATGTAGCGTGTGTATGTGTGTGGTGTGTGTGTAGTGTATGTAGTGTGTGTAGCGTGTGTATGTGTGTGTGTAGTGTATGTAGCGTGTGTGTGGTGTGTGTGTAGTGTATGTAGCGTGTGTGTGTGTGTGGTGTGTGTGTAGTGTATGTAGCGTGTGTATGTGTGTGGTGTGTGTGTAGTGTGTGTAGCGTGTGTGTGTGTAGTGTATGTAGCGTGTGTATGTGTGTGGTGTGTGTGTAGTGTGTGTAGCGTGTGTATGTGTGTGTGTAGTGTATGTAGCGTGTGTGTGGTGTGGGTGTAGTGTATGTAGCGTGTGTGTGTAGTATATGTGTGGTGTGTGTGTAGTGTATGTAGCCTATTAAAACTCCCCTCCCGTGACATCACAACATAATACAGATGGTCATCTATTCTTAGGTGTTTTCGGTAAAGTCACGTAGGCAAAACATCAAAATTAATGAAAAATAATAAAATAAAATAAAGATCTTTATTTTATTTTATTATTTTTATTTTAAAAAAATCTTTATTTTATATTATAATTTATAAAAATAATAAAATAAAGATCTTTATTTATTTTATTATTTTTATT